TCTCGCTCACTACTACCGTTGTACTCGTGTACCTTTTTAAAACGCAACACAATCGTGGAACAGTATAAACAAGTCATGATACGATGCGAGCAATAAAAAAATAAAAATAAAAAATAAAAAAAATATATATATATTTGTTATTGTTAATTATATTTATATGTATGTAATAATATTAACATCAAATAAAAATATGATTATATGCAGATACTTTAATGTTAAGAGTACAAAAAATTTATTTAACCAAGATATAAAAAAATATTTATTATTGTATATACTTATTAGCAGTTAATTTATATATTTTTTATAAAGATACGTTAGATATAGTAATTTACCTTTTCTTATACAATCACTTAAAAATTGGTGTATTTGAATTTTATACGGATGATTAGCAAATATTTTGTCATTTAGATCCGCATAAAATTTCTCTTCCTTAAATTCTGATTTTTCCATCTAACATTGATAAAAAGAATTAATAAACATTAATCTTTTTTAATTTAAGTATTATTACTTATAATGTATATTTGCCTCATATGTTTTTTTTATAAACAGATAACCATTATTCCTTGCTTATAGTAAAGGAAAACCCCCTATTGTGAGATAGGCGCTTAATATGAGATAGCAGTGTTTCTGCTAAATAGACGCTATTTATTGGTTTCACCATGAATTTATTGTTCTTGGATTGAAAACTATTTAGAAAATTTATTATTAGATCATGCCTGTAGTCATTGTAAAAAAAGATTTTACAATTTGGATGTCTTTAAGTTTCATTGAGATGAACCCTCAAACATTGTTTATTATTTAATAAAAATAGATATTTGGCAATAAATTCTTCATGTAGTGATAGAGTAATAATAGTATTAATAGAAAAATACGGGATATGTTGAATTGTTTAATTACAGAAGTTAGATTTGATGATCGTAAAACTGTAAAGCGTGGAAATCGTAATAGGAGATACCCAGGGTATTTCTTATATAAAATAACCCATGTTCCCATATTATAGTGAAAATCATTCCTAAAGTATAAATGTTATTGTACAATAATAAAAAGGACAACTAGAATGTCGAGTGCCTATTTCTGCGATGTTTGATTTCAATTACCAGAAGACGAGTTTTGGGTATAATGCATCGCGTATTCATTTTTCGCGCATCCTGGCTGTGTTTGTTTGTATTTAAGAAACATTAAATAAAGTTTTTTAGTTACAATACTAATATACTTTGCATTTTATTATCGATTTTTTGGGGCATCTCACATTAGGAGCACAATTTTTTGACTTTGCGATTTCCTCACTTTTTACATTTCTTTAATTTTCACAAAAAATGGAATTTGAATTAAATTTTATATAACATTATCTTAAAGCTTATTAAATTCCCTTCAAAATGACTATTATTTTTTTAAATTCTGCTCATAGACTTCTAGTATTTACCCAAAATAAACTCAGTGTCTCATAATAGGGACCTTTCCTCTATAAATGACATGGATACATATATATTATATGTTATCTAAAAATATCAATTTTTAATATCTGTGTCAATGACATAATTTTAACAACATTTATTAACCCTTTCAGATTTAATTTTATTGGAATACGTTAAAAAGAATTTTTAATTCAATTTATGCGTTACTTTAATAAATAATTTATACTAAACAATTAATTTTTTTTCAAAATTTTGACTATTTTTTAAGATATATCTACCCATAGCAAAAGGTTACGTTTACGTCACAATAGTCAGAAAGAAAATATCAATGATGTCACTGTGACAGTGTCATAATAAAATAGTACATGTTACAAAGACATTTGTACGTTACCATGATATTGTTATGACATCACATTGTGATAAAGCGGACATTCGCACGTTACCATGACGTAACCATGATTATGAAGTAACTATGACATTTTTTACTAAAAATGGAAGGCATTATTATGTATATCAGATTTCAAATAATATTGATAGAATTAAATAATTTTAACACAGCTTGACCTACACTGACCTCCAGGGGACATCCAAAGAATATCCGTGTGTCCTTTGAACATCTTAAAGACATCCCCAGGATATATCCCGGATAAAATGTGCTATTAGGAAGATGCCTTCAAATTTGATGTACATACATGCACGCAGGGTCTGAAGGGTTAATAAACACTTTTGGCATAAAAAACAATTATTAGATATATCTTTAATAAGATTTGATCAGTATTCGTCACATTTTGTATTGAATGTCGCAAATATATGAAATAAAAAAACTTTAGAATTATTTTTCAAATCCTTACCCAATTCAATTTCCTTAAAATACACTCAACAAAACAGCCATGCTTTCGTGTTTTTTCCTCGAAGCCAGGCTTTTCAATAACATCATTTATAATATCTCTTATATCATAGTCATCCTCTGAAAAATAAATATTAAAAAGAAATATTTATTTTTTATTATATGAATTTTATATACTTAAAAGGAAAGTAAAAAGTCAATTACTTTTTTTAATAAATTTGTCATTAAAGAAAATAACGTAAGTTTTAATTATTATGTCATTTTGTTGCTATTTATGCTTTATTATTAATAATAATAAACAATTATTTTGTTATTTGAATACTTAATAAGTATCTGAAGTTGTTAAAATTTTGATGGAAAATAATACTTTATTTAAGCATTATCAAGACCATATTAATTTAGAATTCTCAATCTTGATTGAAGACTCCAAAGAATAAATCGTAGGAAGGTAGAAACCCAATGCGAGCCAGCACAGGTTGTTGGTGTGCAAGAATATCATATATTTCGGAATTAAATAAAATTATAAACGTTTCGATCCTTATTATTGGATCATCTTCGATGTTGTTTTTGAAAAAATTCCATTGCGTAAATTTAAATATGTACAGACCGCTTACTATTTCATCAAATGTAATAAATATAGAATTTGTTTGTCATATTTTATTGAATACTCAAACGAATTACATTATCTGCAATATATAATAACATGAAAAATAACAAAAAACATACTAATACAAAAAAATATTTAAAAAACTGGATACATTTACATATTGACGATTGGTCAGATAATTTAGAACGTGTGTACCGTAAGACATTTCAAGAGTGTGTGAAAAGGTCAAAACGAAATCGAAGAAAAAGTCAAACGAGTTATAAAAACAAAGTATGAGCATTAATTATAAAACTTGAAAAAATCATTCTTCTTAAAATAAATCAAGATATAAAGAATCCAATATTTTAGTATCCTCTTACAAATTTAAACTGTTTTCTAATATAAATAGACTCTGGGATTAATCGCCTGTTGTAATTCTTTTCTTCTAAAATCTTGACATTGTTCCAATCAAAATCATGATTAAATTCAAGTTTATGTTCCGTAATAACCGGGTGTTAATTAATATGTTTATTGATATGATTACGATGTTCTGATATTCTAGTTTTTAATAATCTTTTCGTTTGGCCTATGAAGCGCTACAATCAGAACAATTAATTTTATATACTACGTTAGAATGTAAAAAGGAATGTCCTATGTATTTGTCCTTTTGAATTCTAATGAAAAAACTTAATTTATGTAATCCAACGTAGGTCAAGCTAACAGTTGTGTTATTTTTGAAAAATTTTTAAATTTTTCTGATATTGACGAAACATAGGAAACAGTAAAAAATATTGTTAAAGATTTAGTTGCAGATCATGCATTTTTATTTGTATTAATTTCGTTACTATTAAATTGTTTAAATTTTACGTAAAGAGTCTTTTTTGATATAATTAATTATTATATTGAGAGGATATCCGTTATTCAATAAAATGTCTATTACTAATTAAAAGTTTTTTTCATAGAAACTTGAATGATAATAGTAAAACTCTGTTCGTTAGATTATAAATCGTTCTCACTTTCTAACACATTAAATAGCACGAAAAATAATTTAAGTATCGCGCCGAAAAGTTGGTGTGATACCAATCATATAACAGAGTATTATCTTTCTTTATCAGCGTTACATCAAGAAAGTTTGAACTATTACCATCAAGTTCTATTGTAAATTTTAATCTAGGGTAAAAACTATTAAAATTACTTACGATTGTATTAATGTTACACTCTTGAGTTGAGAGTACAATGTCCCCCCCCCCTACCCCCATCGACATATCTATAATAAAATTCCAAAGAAAACGATAGTTTTTCAAGTACAAAAGTCTCTAGATCTTGCATGACTAAATCAGCTGAAATGGAAGATCCCATTGGGACACCAAAGAACTGTTCAACATCGGTTATTACAGAATCATCAAAACTCGGTTATTACAGAACATAGACTTAAATTTAATAATGATTTTGATTGAAACAATATCATTGATTGAATCAAGATTTTAGATGAAGAAAAGAATTACAACAAGCGATTACAATCTTAGAGTCTATTTATATTAAGAAACAGGAAAATGATTTAAATTTATAAAAGGATAATAAAATGTTGGATTCTTTATATCTTGATTTATTTTAAGAAGAATGATTTTTATAATTATGTTTTATAATTAATGCGCATACTTTGTTTTTATAACTCGTTTGACTTTTTGTTTTCTTTTTATTTATTGTATTATTTCTCTACTTAGTAACGACAATTTCGTTTTGACCTCTTTACATACTTTTGAAATGTCTTACTGTATACACATTCTAAATTATCTGATCATTATCAATATGTAAGTGTATTCAGTTTTTTAAATATTTTTTGTATTAATATTTTACGTCTTTTGTTATTTTTCATGTTATTGTATATTGCAGATAATGTAATTTGTTTGAGTATTCAGTTAAATACGACAAGTTCTATATTTATTATTTGATGAAATAGTAAGCGGTCTGTACATATTTAAATTTACACAATGGAATTTTTTCAAAAACTACATTGAAGATGATCCAATAATAAGGATCGAAACGTCTATAATTTTATTTAATTCCGAAATATATGATATTCTTGCACACCAACCACCTGTGCTGGCTCGCATTGGCTTTCTACTTTCCTATGATATATTAATATAGAATTGATCAGAGCAAATGAATAAAATATATTCTGTGTATTTTTATTGCTTACCATAAGTCATACCAGCTTCAATAACACAAATGTTCGTAAGTTGAGTTCTGTTATTAGGTTGTGTTTTTAATTGACTCATTATGGGTATAGATGAAGTAAGAGACTAAATCAGATATTTTTTATAATTTTATTTTATATAATATAATAATAACGTGATTTTTGCTATTTGAATAAAAGATATCATTTTTCGATATATTTTCACACGCTGAACACGAATCCGGCAATGAAATTGCTCTATCATGTCAGATTTTTGAGAAAAGTGAAGTTAAAGGTGCCAAAATTGACGCTTTATTATATATTTGTAATTTTTTTTGCTAGCAAAGTAAATTTTTTTCTACTTTCGTTTACGCTTAAAAAGTTTTAAGAATTTGTCGTCGCAAAAAATTTTTCCGCCATATAGGATCCTCTATTTTGAATTTTAAAAATTTGACTTCAGATTCGGATTTTGTGACTTTAAAAACCTTGCTACTAAAATTATCACACAGTTCTTAAAACTTTTTTTTCAAAAACATTTTTGGCACAAAACGTTTTTCTTTGTGTGACTACGCAGAGATTATTGTGGTGAAAAAAAAACGTACAATACGTTAAAAAAAATATATTTTAAAGATAAAAGTTAGCACTTTAAGATGGCGTAAACAAAAATAAAAAACAAATTAACTTTGCTAGCAAAAAATCACAAATATATTAAAAAGCGTCAATTTTGACATCTTTAACTGCACTTTTCTCAAAAATTTGACGTGATAGAGCAATTTTATTGCCGAATTCATATTGAGTATGTGAAAATACATCGGAAATGTTATCTTTTATTCAAACAGTCCTTTATTTCAACAGTTAAGAAAAAAAGTCTTAAAACGTCAGCCTGTATTAATTTTTTTGAATAATTTCTCACATAATAATCTCTTAATATTTTAATGTAATATTTGTTGTTTATAGTAGAATATATTAAAAATTGTTTTAAAATTACGAATAAGATTGTGATATTGCTTATATTTCGATTACTTTTTTATAAAAAATATAAATAACTTACGATATATGCTAAAGCGCAGATACAGAATTTAAAGGCCTTCATTTTGTTAAGATTACTCTATTCGAATAAACGTTATTCTATGGAATCTTCGTTGTACTATTGGAAGATATCGTGTATATATAGTAAATATATAGTGCACAGGTCAAAGATATGAAATCACAGACTATGTGATCACAATTTCTCGGATTTCATAGCCAATTTATTATATTGATATAAATTGACTACTATTTGATAATGATAATAAGATCATAAAGTTCAAAGTTTGATATATGTTAGATATTAAATTAAGAGACATAGTAATATCTCGCACTTTATAGCTAGCGCGAGTCCACCCCGTGTTTTTACCACTTCTATACTAGACTGCTTGTTTGAAAAAGTAGCCCCCAATTTTGATGTAACATTATATGCTTTGAGAACCGCTCTGCGTGACCGCGTGACGTATATCTGCACAACATACTATTTTGACAGGTTAATCTGTTTAACATATTAAAACCACCAAATACTTATTTTCATGATGTAGCTATTATAATTATAAATTATTCTAATTTATAAGAAATTGAATAAAATCGCATTTTTTTTATACACGTTTATTAATATTCAATTGTCTTTCTAATATTTTTATCTTTTTACTTGAACTCTTTCTCTTCCAAAAGAAACAAAATTTTTTGTTATAAGATTTCACCACTTTCATAAGATTATACATTTAGTATGTAAACAGTTGATGCAAAACATAGCCATACTGTATTCCTTTGAGTATATTTGTGACGTACGCGCAGAACTACCATATTTTGGAAACCACCATATTTTCCATTTCACACAAGCTTGTCCTAAGGAGTTAGCAGTCTAGTAATATATATAAAAGTCTGTAGTTTTTACACACGAGCCGGCGAGTTGCGAGCACCAAAGATTATCGGATCATCGAGAATAATCAGAAGCGAATTGATCAATTCTGAGTAGTTTTAATGGAGATAACTTGAGTTTAAGTTATATAATTAAACTCTTTTTATTATCTATATATTCTACAAATAAACGAAGATATCGCGATACAAAGTCCAAAATGTTAAATTTTGACATTAAGATACGTTATCATTATTATGATGGAAGACCAAGCCGAGCTTGCTAGCAGCGTCAAGTTTATTTATATTAAAATTTTTTTATTTCAATTAAATATTCTTATTTTCATGTATTTTTGTTTAAAAATAGTTATGTGACATTAATGTTTTAACGAAATGTATATTCTGTTTATAATTGGAGCAATTTAAAGATTTTACACTTAAAAAAAAAATTATTATTATTATATATACTTTTATAATTTGGAAAATAGATTTGGAATAGGTTTGTAATCGGAAGTCTTGTGTGACTACGTGCACTTCCAATAGTACAAGAATTTTTTTTCAAGGAGTACATACAAGCGCGTATAATAATTTAACGGTTTTTTTCTGAGAGAAGCACACACTTGGCACTTTTTTTTATCTTATTTTAAAAAGATAAATTTGTTATAATCTTATTATGTACTAAATAATTTTTGTGTAACTTTTTAGGAATTATTAATTTAGAGTATTATTATTTGATTTATAAAAAAGTCATAAAGAATAATTTAAAATATTAAATATTTAACTATTCTATTAGAATTCTCTTTTGTTTCTATTTATTGAAAAAAATTAGTAAATCTTTTTTTTAATGTATAACATAAACTATAATGTAAGAAATCTTTCAAGCAATGCAAAAAAACAGACAATATCAAGTTTAGTTGGAATTGTCTAGTTAAACACGATAATAAAATTTAATACCAATGGATAACAAAAACTGCGAAAAAGAATTTTTCCTGAAGGGAAATCATCTTTGACCAAAATTCTTTAATTGTGAAACAATTTGTGCAGCATTCGATAAAAAAGTTGTACTCTGTGAATTTAGTAGGTTTCTAAGTATATGGATGTGTTTTACATCATCTGCGAATAATGTAGAGTGAAGATATCAGACTTAGATAACATTGAAAATAATGTTACAGAAATCTGTAATTTTGTTTATGTTATAAATTGATAATGGAAATATTTAGAAATTAACATTAATATACATAAAGTAATAAATATGAAGAAAATTTCTTTAAATTATTTTTACGTTATAGAATAAAGATATTAAAAATATCTTTACAAAATATTTTAAAATTGAAATAACTTTATTTAAATATTTGGTGTTTGCAAATATACAAATTTAAAGAGCGGATAATAAATACACGAGAAACTAAATAACAAAACATTTGAATTGAATTAATAAAAATGTAACTAAAAGAAACTGATGCATGTATTGGAACCAAAGTAACGCTACTTTATTTATATTATATGTACATGTTTAAAAAAAAAATTGTCAATTGACCATTCGATAGAGCAAAGTTTCAGCTTTAAGAATCTGTTTTTTGAATTGTGGTACGATAACTTTTAACGGAGTTATGAGTAATCAAAGTCAAAATTAAGTGCCTTTTCTTATCTAATCCATTATTAGGTAAAAAATCTTAGGAATATTAAAAAAAAGATTATCATGTAAAGAAAACTTTAAGCTTTCACGTTAGACAGTCAAAAATTTTGGCAAGTTTTTTTTGGACACATGATAGGCATACAGAATGAAAAGGAAATTTCCCATTTTGTCGAGCTCGTAGTTTCTTATATATAAATTACCAAACTTACAGAAACTCAAAAGACATAGTGACCTTTTAAATATAGAGATAAAGGGCTTTTCTTTTTCTTAATTAAAATTTTTTTCATTTTTAACGAAGTTACAGCTGATTGAATTTTAAAATTTGTAGGAACTTTTGTTCTAGTCCAATAGTTATGCAAATTAAATTAATGAATAGAATTAATGCAGAGGACGCAAAATTCCAACTTTATAGCTTAGCTAGATAATTTAAAAATATATATATGATTTAAAAACTCTCGCAAAATGTTGATGTTTAACATATTTTATAAAAATAATTAATTAGTAAATAATCAGTTAATCAGTATTTAGCTATATATAAGGATTTGTTTTTGTTGACCGATTATCTCTTCATTTTACATGTTTATAAAACGTAATATATGTATAAATGTCGAGATTAGAAGAAAACAAATAATTGGCCTTATTACGCAATTTTTCAAAATATTGATTGACAATGAGCATAATGAGCGTTTTCTAATAATGCTCAATTTTTAAATAAAAGTAATAAGACAAAGGAAGAAATAACGATTTATATTTTATTAATATACAACGTAAAATTCCTTTCATTACGCGTGAAGTATAATTATGATAAACGTGCATTTTACATTTAATTTATACTGCTGTTAATAATAAAGATATATTAAACTTCACATACATTTGTTTAATAGCATTCATATATTTCGAGAATTTATTACATTATAATTTATATAAACATAGACATTTTGCTTTTACGCTAATAATCTAATTTAATAGCTACAGTATAGAGCTAGTATTTCTAGGCATGCAGTATTCCATTGTTATTTGGTAAAACGTGCTTGCGCAATAAACACATGTATACTCATTACCTTGCGCGCTTCGTTATACCTTGGCATACTCATTCAAAACATCTTTCAAACAACATATCATATTCACTGACACTTACACTTTCTCGCTATCTCTTTCACATAATTCGTTTATTCTTGTCAATTTACTTTCAGGATACATTATTGGATATCCTGAAGTAACATTATTTGTTAAAAAAGAAGTATTATCAGACTTTCATTGTAACATTGTATTTTAACATAATCTCGAAGATCAAAAGTAAACTCAATATTGCAATATTTTCAAAAATATTGCTATATATAACTGATTTTCATAATCCGCAGAGCCGATGAGATTTGAGATATGTGTAAATAAAAAAAAACCTAATTTTTACGAAAACATTTTTAATCCATAAAATTAAAATATAATTAAGATATTCTTTTACGTTGTTAATATGTATTACGTTATTAAAATATGCGTAAAATAAATTATAATTTTGGCGTCATACTATAATACATTTTTAAAAAATATCTTTTACATAATTGTTCCGCAAATTTATATCGTTTGTTTTATTCAGATTATATTTTTAATTAAATTTTTTCGTTGTTGATATTTAGATAAACTAACTACTTCTTTTAATTAACTAGTGCCTGCATGTGGAATGTTGCCAATTTATATTCACATAAGTTCCCTAAATAAAGGCATTCGAAGCCACTAACAAGTGGATTTATTAAAAAGAAAAAAATAAATTTATATATAGAAAATTTCTAAAATAAAATTTATTTTCAAATAATATCCATCATGCAGGAAACATAGTACTATACTAATATGAATTATCACTGTTATCTAATACTATCTAAATGTAACAGTCTTAATATCATTATATTAAGATCTTTGTGTTTGCGCTCATTAAATTAAACATGTAAAAGCAAATACACATTTAGCATGAAAGTGTATTAAAAATTCAATTTACTTAGTCTATTTTGGTTTAGATTATAATTTTTTCAAATTGTTCAGGTATAAATAAATATTATATAATTTTGCGCCAATAAATATTACATGTTAATGCTATTCGCAGATCATCCAGTTTCGAAACAATTCGTTAATAACATCCTTCTTCTATTTGATTCTTATTTATCAGCTTTCCTTTGATCACGAGACGTAATTAAATTCTTGCAGTGGATTTACAGACGATAAATAGTTTCTTTGATTCTTGCACCGATTATTACAAAGTATCAAAAGACAAAGAATATTTCATTTTCTTTATAGTCGTAGATTTTACGCGACAAGTGTCTTTATTTTATACGATGTAAATACCAAGCGCAACGAGAAGAGTAAAGAAATTACAACTGAATCGAAGAGATATTTCCGAGAGATTTTCTTCTGTAAAATCAAGTAATGGGTTTTCGCTCCCATTGCTAATGTCTAGCAATGTTGAGGTATTTGTGTCCCGAAGTGTATGATTCGATAACTCGACGTAAAAATATTCGTCACGTTTTGCGAGAGAATGAAAGTCAAATAATATGCATTTGCATGTACCAATTTTCTCCTTCCATTGATCACAAAATATGTTAAACATTCATGTCAAATAAATATATAAATACGAATTACAGGAATTCCGGACGGCATAAAAGTATATTACAATATTACGGGCATTCTCTTTTATTATTATCCAATATAGATGCACAATTTGTGATAAATGTCATGCATTTCTTTGTATTATAATTTTATATGACATTAACATGTTACGCGTGCGAATTCGTTGTAAATTACGTAAAATCATGGCAACGATTTTGCTACAAACGCTAAATATTATTTCCTAATTGATAGGTTTTTATTTATAATTAATGTTGTATTATTATATAAATAAAGAAATGCATTTATATACAATTTAGAGTAAAATATACTGGTGCAATTTTCAATTCGTGATAACGTTGATTAGTCATGCTTTTGCAACTTTGCACTTTAATGCTAAATGCGGAGCGCGCATCAAAGATAGTATAAATAATTAAATCATGTATTGCAATGGATTATCGATACGACGAATGAACGTATGCTGGCTTACGTATGTTTATTTATATTTCGTTGGACCAAATGTACAGAGTTGTAATACAAAATCTGTTTTCCGACAGGTGCTAATTTCGAGTGTTTCACAGACATTCGTTCGAATGATAAAATATCGACAACCAAGACGCTTATAAACATAAAAAAAAATGGCATAGGGAACTTATGTGACTATTAATACTAGTAAATTATATTATATATTATATCATATTTATATGATACACCTATTTTTCCGTTTACAGTATGTAAAGAAGAAAACATGAAGACAAATAAGAATCCTCGGCCCTGGCTATCAATAGATGGATGATATCGTATGTGTTTACAATTTAAATATTTTTCACTATTTGTCCATTTTTACTATAAATAAAAATAAAAACACTTTCTGTGTAAAACTGAGTAAAGTCAATTGTGAAGCTAAGTAAAAAAAAAATGTAAAAAAATCTATATATCAATAGACAGATATCTTTTCCATTATATTCTCTCTTGCATGGCAAAAACTGGCTAATAACATGACAATCGTCAAGCGTGGCAGTCATATGATGGCAGTGAATTTCGAGACAAAACTCTAAAAAGATACGCAGGCCATAAGATTTAAATCGTATGGCCGTTGAACGTTTAGCGGCCAAAAGCTATGTCTATATATATTCTACGATTGGTACTTTCTCGCGAGGCGCACGCTAGACGGCAAGATCGCATTGAAATTGTGAAGGACAATAGCGAAGCACATCGAGAGATATTCGTTCGTCTTCTAAGTGAATGTATATGTTTAAAGAAACAGTTTACATAACATAAGAATGAGTGAAACAAGGAAACGGAATAAATACATATAAATACTGGCAGTGGAAGATGCGATGCAATTATCCAGGGGAAAAATAGATACGCATAAATAGATGTAAGGTAGGTACGTATTACGCCATACATTAATACGGGCTTAAGTAGTATACGAACGAATTACGCTTCTTGATTAAACTAATAGCAAATTAGCTTAGGTATATAAATAATGCGCTTATACAAAAATAATTACGCGGTTTTATATCGGTAAAGTCCTTGTTTTCGGATTACCGACGATTTCATTGACCTATATAGTTACATCCGTTTCGCGATCGAACGTTGATCGAACGTTAATATACGCGCGTTGCCCGTTCCTCCATAATTCGTTTTCCTATTATCTGCTGCATCAATCTGAACGCAAATCTCTCATTGCTCCGTGCAGCCTGCAGACTGCATTTTGCGCCTTGAAACGTAATATTAGGCCGTAAAGTATAAAATTTCTGAAGAGTACACTTCGAAACGCGATACAGTCCGAGCGATCTCGATCACACGATGTGATTTCTTGACTTTTTCAAAAATAAAGCTACATTCCCACTGCTGCTGTCGGTGAAGTGAGGTAAGAAGACGTTGACGGCTTACTTTCAATTAAGTTTCTTCTATGCTTAAAATATATTTTACATTTAGTTAGACACTTACTTGTGATCTATTCACGTAATTGTAATTCTATATGTCGATTCTTTAACGGCATAATTGCTTGTCCCTTCTGATTATCGTGTTTATTACGATTTACAAGCGGCCTAATATCCATACTAGCTAAAGATTGTGCAGTTAAAGTGATAGCTGAAACGCTAAATTGGCAGCACTGCAACTAAACTGATGAAAAAGACAAGAAACACATCGCCATTCTCTTTTATTTGCCTCCGTTTCGTTTATTGGCTACGACGATATTGCTCGCGCGCGTTGTAGCCAAGCGAAGTGTGTCGAAATCAAACAATTTGCGAAAAAGTATTGTAGCCATTCACGCCATTTTCACAAACATCTCTCTCTCTCTCTCTCTCTCTCTCTTTCTCTCTCTCATTCACTATTTTTCACATATTTGTAAATCTTCTCTTGCAAAAATTCAAGACCATTGCTCAGTAGATAGAAATAGCTATGCGATCAAAGATTCGCGTTTAGTGTAAAAATTCGCTGGAGGAAAGATAGACCTAACATGGATCTAAGTTTCGCGGTCGACCATTTATAAACTTTCAAGAAATTACGATTGTCACTAATCTCTATCGCTATATAATATCTTTTTATAAATACAAACAATTTTTTAGAACAATAAATTTAATTTAAGAGATTACACAGAGAGATTAGACAGACGTTGATTTTATAACTATAGCGTAATGATGTGTTGCATTACAAGTAGTTCAAGTAAAACTGCTCGAATAACTTAACTGCAATATTTTCCAATATCTCCGTTATAATATAGGACACAATTAATACGTTTTCTGAATAATAATTTTTGAAAAACAGATTACATCGAGATGCTTGCATCAAAGCCTCAATAGAGATTACAATTGCGGAGACGTATTAAACAAAAAGCAGCGCGTATATATCCTATAAGAAGATTACGGAAGCCTATTTGTACGCAGCCGCGAATCCCCTATTACCAGTTAGGTCCATTCCGCGCTAAATCAACGGCGTAATCGTACGCACTCGTGCGTAACATTACGAACACGCAAGCGCCCGCGTGCGCGGTCCGCGATCGCAAATATACGGACACATTGTCCGCGCGCGCTCGCGCCCACCCTTTCTTCCGCCCGCGTTTTCGTCGTTATATACCTATGTCGGGTCATTATATATACGAATAATACCTAGTATACGTTTAACTGCTTCGATATCGATAGTCCGTAGCTATATATTACGTACAATATACTCTTGCTTCTTCTTTCTCTCGCTTTCTTTCTCTCTTTCGCGCGCTCTCTCTCTCTCTCTCTCTCTCTCTCTCTCTTCTTCTTTTTTTAATAATACATATCACACTGAGCCAGCTATGTGTGTGTCCATCTAGTTTTGGCCTGCACTTCCTCACGCACTTTCTCGTCCACGTACGTCTCGCATAGGGATGCCGAGGGCACGTCGTAGCGCTTGCCCTCGTCGTCCCCGTTGTTGTTCCTTTCGTCATCTTGGAGGACACGTGAAAGTACGCTCGGGAGTGCTGCTTCGGATCCAGGGGTTTCTTCTCGGTCTCATTTTACGTCTCGATGCGCGCCGACGAGACTCGGGCCGCGATGCGTCGACTGGCTAGTAACATTTGCGGGTACACGTGCACTTACGCACCAGGTCAACGTCCTTAGTGTACCGCATGCCGTCAGCGCAAATTAATCGAACCTGAAATTAATACACAATTGTTTATAATGACTACATATACGATCGTTATCGGCATAACGACAGGGGAGTCGCCGCCGTCGGTCCGAACTTAATGAATATAATTGCAGTAATTGACGTGGCTGCTTCGAACGATTCGTGCGCGATCGATCATTTGGGAAGATGAAATAGTTCACTTGCTTTGTCCGATCGTGACTAATATGGAATTTAATATCAATTAACAGGAACAAGAGCGATATAAGCTTTAATATTTCATCCCGGTGTGCTGTCTACAGAGAAAATAGGAATAGAAGGTTCTTATAACATAAATCATGATGCAATATTAGTTTACTCCAATTTGACGTTACGTGGAGAGAATATTTTTAGTCAATTGAAAATTATATAATAAAATCAATGCATTGTTCTGCCGAAAACCGAATAATTCACAAATCTTTCTAATCGATATACAAATGTTTTTTATACCTTGCGCCGTTTAGTCTTCCGCGGTAAACAGCAAGAATTGCCGCAACTTCCCCAACATTTAGCAAGCTTCACGGGTCGTCGACTCCGACATCCATTCTCACTGTAGTACTCCCTGGTATGCTCCTTGCGACAGGTTGGTGCTGCGATATTGATATTAATTTTATTATCAAAAGTGGATGAGCAGTCAAGCAGGATATTGTCAATTAAATACATGTACATATATATACATTGCAATAATAAAAAGAATGTCTTGAAAAAAAAATGTAATAAGCTTATTTTATAATAAATATGTATTCAAATATATAATCTATATACGATAATATTGAGGGAAGAATCACCTTTCTCGCAGTATCGTCCTTGCCAGCCAGTTTGACATCGACAAGAATAGCTGTTACCGTATGGCGACGGTAAGCATTGAGATCCTTTTTTGCATTCATGTCCGATACATGCATGTGCAGGCACCAATCCACTTACCGACATGATGACATCTATAATTAACATATTTTTTAATCAAAAATATATAAAGATTTCAAATTAATTTAGAATAGGATAATTTCTTCTAACTTTTTAATCCAATTTAATGTGATATTTCTTGTATTATATATATAATACAATAAAAAAAAAAAAATTTAACATACTTCATAAATGCAAGATGTTGAGTCATTACGTTGTTCAATTATTTATATACATATATGTACGTTAATTATAATTGTAATTAGTTGTTAAATATATAAAATTTTCTTAAAAATCCATCCCAATGTTGTTCGTAAATAGTTTAAAATATTTTTAATTTAAAAAATTCAAATGTAAACTATTCTTAACTTAAGTCAAGTTAACATTGTATAAACAGCAATTACAGATATTAACATACCAGAATGTTCGCGAGGTATGTGCTCTTGTGGGATGATCTCCTCGTTACTACCACTACTGTTAATTCCCTCAGCTTCAACAATATCTCTTGCTTCATCGGCTTCCTCCTCGCTAGCAGCACATCCGGGAGTAACGCGATGCATCTTTGCGGCGTTGCTGAAGTCTACCAACTTATGATTGATCCACATCTCGGAGATGCAGCCTGAGATAAAGCAAGGAAACTTTTAATGGATCTGGCGAGGAAGAAACTTTTGCTCTATCCTATATAAAGAGTGGTGGCATGGGAATGTGTACCGAACGTTACAATGCAATTGAGTAAGAGCATAAGTGACGCAAGCACGTATTCGCGCCTGCATAAATTCTCATAAGAAGCTACGTTACGCTCAACTTCAGTGATTGACGTCAACGATACATATACTTTCATTGTTGAAATAGCTTCTCTATCTTATAACACAGGAAGTCCAAATATAACTAAAATACAAATTATACATATGATGTAGTCCGATCATGAATTTTCACATTGTCGCGAAACTTTTCAAATCTAGTTTCTCTTGGTTACATATCGTGCTACATATTATTTCGTACACTATATGCAAACGTAGTAAATCGTAGTATTGCGCCGGGGGACATCAAAAATGTAACCGAATATTAAATGAGGTCTCCGCAAGTTGCAAATTTGTGGCTGATATTCCGAGTTTGCGACAACTATCGTTTCCCAGAGGAACCGCAGAGTATCGGTGTTGGAACTAGCAGTGGTGTAGAAGCACAAATCATCCGTGAAATCTTTGAAATATTCCTAACCGAATGATTTCGTTATAACATTATTATACAATCGTTTTTTATAATTTGCTAAATATGTAATTTAAAATTCAATAATTACTTTCATAAAAATTATTATTTAAGATAACTAATTAAAATAAAGAATTGAATATTCGATTTATTTCTATGCCGTGGTATAAGAACACGTTTCTTTGCAATTTATTAAAACCATTCTATTTTTTCATAACGACGGCACTTCTCTGTCAATGTCACTTATTAAAGTTATAATATAAGAATGTTAATTAATCTTAGCGATATTTCTCAGTGTCGTAAAAGAAATTTACCTTGGAAGCTCGTAATATTTCTAAGATGAAAGTCGGTAAATGCGACTTTAGCAACTTCTGGCGCTACGCCACCGACGAACATTGGCGTGACAAGCTTGAGATACTCTTTCGGACCCTCGTTGATGATGCTCCTGGCGGAACCCCGGTCGACCCTCATTGTAAAATTTTTCTTGATCGCCAAAAGCTCCGCCATGTGAGGCTTGCCATCGGCCACCATCTCGTAGCTGTACATCGTCGAGGTAGGATAATTACCCACGTCGTATGAGACCCTGACCCGCCCATTAAAGAGCTCGACAGCGATGTGTCCGTCGCTTTGTCCATCATAGAGAAGAACCCCGTTTTCCTGCGTGGTCATGAATATGATGGTCACGTTTGCCTCGGGCCTCGTGCGTAGCGGTTCTAGCTCGACCAGCGAGCTATTGTCCACGAAGCTCAGACTCGTCAGGTACTCGCATCGTTTTCCTGAAATGATAGATAAGTGGTCGCGCCATGTTAAATAGCAAATTCTTGAACATCACACATAATAAAAGGTAGTCAAAAATTCTCAGATTATGAAATAAAATTGATTGGGAGACGTAGTCTCTATACGGGGAGACGTCTCTCAATAATTACTAAAGATATTTAACAGAAGGTAATGATTTCTTTTACTTACCGGTATAGCCGGGATGGCACTGGCAAAGATAGTCCGCGGCGGAGGCAGGAGCGGGCTGGAAGCAGGCACCATGCTGACAGTCGTGGTGGGCACACGGACTTGTCTGTGGATACAGCATGGCTGTCGAGGGTGCAGCCTCGCAGTATCTCCCTGTATACTCCGCCGCGCACTTACACTCATAATTGTTTATGCCGTCAATGCAAGTAGCACCGTTCTGCGAAACAAACGAATTAGAATTTACAAAAGTGTCAAAATTTGAAACGAAGAATGAAAAATACAGCGCTGATAAAAAGGCCTTTAACACTTATTTTCAATGCTTCAACAGTTACATCTTCAACAACAGATTCTCACTTAAGAAATCTTCGAAATATTTTTTACAAAATTATAAAAAGATTTATAAGAAAATGGAAAAGAAAAAATATCGACGTTATAATACTGTCATAAAAAGCACATTATAAAAATGTTTATAATTACGTCTTGTAATAAAATTTTAATTATGATTTTTAATTAAAATCCAAGATATTTAAAAAAAATATTATATGTAAAACAAGACATTATAAAAGTGAAGCTAAATTAAAGTAATAATCTTGATGTCGATGCATTTCTAATGTAATCGTCTAATTAATATCAGCCAGTAAGTTTACGGATAAGATAGGAACGCGCACAAACTGGATGCAACTAACTACTAGCAGAGGGTTACAAATCATCGGGCGGTCCGCCAGTTTCACATGCCTGGTGTAGAGTCTCAAACTAAAGGCCATGTATTCTGGAGCTTAAGTCACATATGTGCAATAATATATCCCCCCCTATGAGTTACACGTGCTAATCTTATCAATGGTTTAAAATTCTGTTCAAGCCAATAGAAGCAATTCGATATTTAATGTTATTATGTAAAAAAATAAATAATGTTATTATGTAATATAACGATTTAAATATGTTAATTATTATTATAATTAAGACAACTAATAATAGCGTAATAAGTCTTCCAATTAAATTACATGTAAAATGTATTGCAAAATGTTAATATTAAGTTATTTTAACTGCATAGGATAACTCCGGCGAATACGCCGCGCTGAGATTTACGCAGTAGAAGTCAGAAAAAATAGAAGGAGTAGGGGTAATTTTCCCGCAACTATTCTGTTACGTGCCTTTATGTTATATTAATATTGTGTTATAATTTCAGTTTCTTAATATTAATAAAATTATTGTAGATTGAATCGATTTGTTACTATAACAAGTAACGCCATCATAAATTATAATCTACATAAAATGATTACTGTAGAGCGTGTAAAAGACTTACACAAAGTACTTTGCTTTCGTATTCTTTGTTTAGTTTGTTGTCTTGTATATCTCCCTATTTGGGATATACGGCCTTTTTAACGAGCGGGATTTATGCCCAAAGTATACAAAAGTGCGCAGATTGAATTCAATGCAATAAACGCATTATATGAAATATATACCTCATGTCATAACACTTGTAATATATGTAGGAAGATTGTAATTATTATTTATTATTTCATATATATATTTAGCATTCTGATTCTTTAATAAAACTTTATAAACTTATTTTATAAGTCATTGTGTCATTTTACGTCTTATTTATATGCATTATTTGTAAATTTTTTATGAGCCGTACATACCCTCTCTCCTCCTATGAGTAGCCATATATCCCACCCCTATGGGATATACGGCAAAAAATGCAAAGGTTTCAAAAAGTTGATTTATTTTTTAATATGAAAAATAAATATTTCGGATTTCTAATATTTTTTTCATAGTAATAGACAGTACAAAGTTTTTACCGATATAGTTTGTTTACTTTAAACATAATAAATAATACTTAATAAATTAAGTTTTTGATAGGTGTAGCGTATATACCGGAATTTTACCCTACAGAATGTGTTCAATGTATGGAGATGGAAAATTCATAGAAAGACAGCTTCTGTAGGTCAATTTCGCGCCATTCACGGAAGCTTAGAAAGCATGGAACGTGATATACTACCGTGGCTTTAGAACTAGCGCCACAAAGCCGAAAACTCCACACCAGTTTCTGTACTCTGTGCAAACACTCAAATGAAATTTGGCCGGCATATAATACCGCGAAGAAGAATCTTCGCATAAAATTTCATACGCCAACTTTATGCTTCTGGGTCGTAGCTCTTCGCGACTGTAAAGTTTCTTCCTCTCGGAAGATCATATCTGCCTGAGTCGGAGTTCTATTTAAGAGTCGATAGTCAAATAAAAGTTTGGCTTTCATGCAAGTCAAGTTATGTCGCTAAGTTTGAGTTTTCATGTTGATACTGTACTGAATTAAATCGATACTACGTTAAGTGATTCAACCGAGAAATACTTCCTGAAATGAAATGCAAAGAGACATATGTATATCCGCGTGTTGAACCCGTCTATAAATGCATAAGCAATTCAAAAATAAGAATTATAAAATTTGTTAACAATATTCGAACATATTTTAAAACAAAAAGAAAATCTACTATTATTATAAATGTAAAAGGGAACTGTTAATGCGGTACCAGAAATTAATTGCGATTGTCGCAACTGTAAGCGATATGAGAAAATAAATTCTTATGATATGATGTAAATGAAACAGATATTATCGACTTCGTACAGATAGGTGCGCTCGTGCACGCGACTTCTACGATACGTAATTACTTATTTTAATGAATTTTACACTCAACAACAATACTATAGATGTTGCTTATTGAGAGAGAGAGAGAGAGAGAGAGAGAGAGAGAGAGAAAGAGAGAGAGAGAGAGAGAGAGAGAGAGAAAGAGAGAGAGAGAGAGAAAAGTGCATACAATTTTATAAAAATATATGAAAATCCTTATCGTGGTGCTTACAGAATTCATTATTATAAAGTCTGAAGATATTTAATTAATATTGTTCATCACAACAAAGAGAGAAAAAAATGTATAAAAATATTATTATACTAAAAAATAAAATTATTTAATATTTCATAATACTAATTAAACATTAATAAAAAATACATCGGTTAATATAAAATTTACTCCGACTTTCGCTAATGTGCGTATTATATTTCAACGCAAAAAGTTTATAACCATTTATTAATAAAATTAATAAATGTTTATAACCATTTATTAATAAAATTATATATTTCATTAATCATTTATTGTATACAATAAGGCATAGAATTTGTAACAATCGATACGTTAATGCGATAAAGCGTCGTGTTACTGAATGTACATAGCTACTATATGCTGTATGTATGTATAATGGTTTCGTTATATGAGAAAACCGAGAATATAATACCTAGTACAACGCGTGATTTTATTCGGAAGAAACAAATCTGCGACGATCTCATGCCCGCGATCGATAGAATATGACTGTTCAGCAAAAAAATAGTTTTGCAACTGTAGTTATAAGATTCTTTAATATAATTGATTTACATGTTTAGACTTAATAAAAAGGGCAAGACTATATTAAAGAATTTTATATTTTGCAGTCAAATAACAGAAAGCTGCCCACACAGCGTAAAATATTTACGTGAATTATTTTTTTAAATATTTCAATAAAATATTTCAGAAATATTGAATAAATATTGTAAGAAAAAGAATATTAAAAAAAATTTTGCTGGATATATTTATATTTTAAAAATATTTCATGAAAAATTTCTGAAATATTTCAAATCTTGCAATAAAATATTTCTGAAAATTGTCATGCTGTATAAATAATAGTGAGCGTTCAATGATTCTTTAATATGATTAGGCTCTATACTTAGATTCACGAAGAACTAAAAGGCAGCTAATCATATTAAAGAAGAATTAAGCGCTCACTGATCAGGTTTCTCTGCAGAACGCAGCTAACTCAAGATATTCCGCACGTACCTGGCACATATGATCGACACAGTCATCCAAGTTTGTGGAACAATTGAGGCCGGTGAAGCCGATTGGGCATTCGCAGCTGTAGTGGGTCTTGTGGTCGACGCATCGACCTCCGTTCTCGCAGGGGTCGTGACCCTTTGTGCAGAAGGGTATCTTCTCCTCGCAGTATTCTCCCATGAATCCTGGGGTGCAGTCGCATCGATAGGCCTGTACGAGGTCGACGCAGGTTGCGTTGTTAGCGCACCTGTTGTTGGCACAGTCGTCGACGTTGCTTTCACATCGAAGTCCCTTGTACCCGGGGGCGCAGTCGCAACTGTCACACACCGACTGAACGTCAATCGAGACATTGAGCCTGACATGCGATCGCGATAGATTCGCCAAAGGTACCTTACCGCGGGCGATAAACCGTCGACATTGCTTTTCTCTTTCCTCGATTTCTACACGTTTATAGCGCGTATTTGATAATTAAATGCTCCTATCGAGGAATGATAGGAAAAAGGCATTTGGAAAATTTGAATAATGCACTAATCTTTAGAAAAGAAATTATAAGTTACATATATGCAATTCTATTCTTTAATTCAGAGTAGACTAAATATATAATTTAATTTAATTTTAAAATAATTAACGCTTGTATATTAAATAAATAACTATTACGTTATTAAAACCTATTTGTGTATAATTATTATTATAATTTTAAATTGCATTGTTATCATTGTCTTTACTATACAAGCAATAAAGACAAAGATAAATATTGTACAGAATATTGTTAGAAATAAATATGAATTTTAGGCTTGCAATGTGCTTGCAATCGATCTGACATGCATATGCTCTCCGTGCGGAAGTTCGGTTCTTCGATTTTTCTATAATCGCAACAACCTCTCTTATGAGCAGTCGACAGTTTATAGCCCGCAGTCATCACTCCTCGGGGCTCATGTGCAGAGGGTCCCGTTTATTACGCGTGTTGAGAGTAGAATTTGACGAATGCTCCGATCGTGGTCCATTTTGGGCGTCACTTTAAGCAGCCCGACGCGTCGGAGTTGTCAAAATAGCATAGTAACTTAGAAAGACAATTTTTTATTCAGTGATATTTGTCAAATTTAAGCTTCGAGATGCAATTCTATATATAATCTTACATCGTGCATATTTACATCTACTTTGATGTTCAAACAAAGATGTTTCAAGAAACTACTTGGTTCACGTGAAATAATTTTGGCAACGTGCAGGTTCTACTAATATAATATAATACCTACGAAATCGTTATAGTAGAGAGAATCAATGCTTTCGAATTATAAAATTATACAAATTTTTTTAGCACTACTCAGCAATATTATAATAGGATTCTCTCTTTTGGTGAATCTGAGATTACTGTTTTAAGACTAAATCTTTATATAACTTCATATTTTCTTCATATAATGAATAACTTATACTATTTTCTTCGTTTAATCTACATATATAACTTCATATTTAACCCTCCGTGAACAAGATGGGGAATGACTCAGCAAGATGAATTTCTATAACTGTCCTAAAAAGTACCGCACGCATGTTGCCGGTTTCATGCAACTAGAGAGTGCATTGTTATCAATCACACTAAATTGCTATATAGTATATTTATGATGAAATATAGCGTGAGATATGAGATACACACATATGATATATGTTGTTACAAATTTCATACTGTTATCCTTTATTTAATCGATTTCTTCTCTTAAGACAGTAATCAAAGCAATTAAAAAATTGGTAAGCTTGTTTAAAATTATTAGTTTGATCGCATTCGTAAACGTTCTATATAATTTCGTAAAAAAATTTGTGAAAATTTAAGCAAAAAGGCTAACGTAAAAAAAAAGACAAAAAAAATTGCAAAAGTCGACAGAAATTTTGTCTATCTCAAATATTGTCTAGATACAGCACGATGCTATTGCAAACGTTCTACGGGTTCCACTGGACGAGCAACTCTAAAGTCAGCCCGACGAGCTACTACTCTGATCAAGGTTAGACTGTCGCACTTAGTAAGTACCTGAATCTTCCTTCCTCCAGTACTTTGCAAGTTCCGGAGTTCCTGCAAGGATTTCCATAGCACGCGTCAATTTTATGCTGACACCGGTCCCCGTGATATCCTGGCGTGCACTTGCAACGGAACTGCCGGTCCGGAAGCGCCTCGCAAAATCCTCCGTTTTCACATGGCGAGGTGTAACACAGGTCGCACTTGGCCAAGACTTCGGCTGGCTGCTGCTTGGCTGCGCGGAAGAAAGGTCTACGATTAATGAGTAATTTTAGTACCCTACCGTGATGTTGGGCCAAAAAACCACGAACTAAACAGACTGCGTCGCGTTGTACTACGAAAAATCAAAAACATCGTCACGTGCGACAACCAGTATACGATTGCGGATCAGTAATGGCCAAGCAGCCAGAGGAATTCTTTTTGTTACTTTTTATAAGAGGCCACGAAGTGTACTAAACAATGTTAAAAAAAAAATACTTCTTGTGTCTAATAAAAAAATTGATATTCAATGACCCGTTTTATAGCAAAGTCGAGGATCATGATCTGTATTTCCGATTTCAATGATAAATATTCTATGGAGCGATATTAATGAATGTTAATGAAGATTTAAGTATAAGAATTGGAATTGAAGTCAAAATTGGATATATTGTAAACGATCGCACGTTTCTATGTTACTGTATCAACAAAGCATTATTGATACGCGATTCGCGGACAGCAATTTATTTAGCGAAATTTGCAGATGGAATCTCTTGGCTATTCTGCCCGCAATCGAGATATACGCTTATGAGATATTTACTTTTGCATTGAAAGGCACTAGCCGGTGTCGTCAAAAGCAATTTGTCTCTCATCGCAGGAGGTTCCATGCACCTGGCGATGCCAGGCTCCACATAATCTTTCTTCACCCACTCGGCCAACCATCGCATGCTGCAATCGCAGTAAAGCGGGTTGGACCCCAGGGCACTGTAAACATCGTGATCGATAAATGGCTGGTATCGAAAATCAAGTGCGTGCAGCTTACGAATGGAGTGGATACTCACAGATGTGTTATGGACTTGAGATCCTCAAACGCTCCCTCTGGGATGACCGATATGTCGTTACCATGCAATGAACTGAGAAGAGCAATGAATTATAGTGCATATGTTTATGTTATTAGAATAGAAAGATTTTAATTTGTCATTTCGTTCAATTAAAATTAAACTAGCTTAAATGAAGAATTTATAGCCTGATAATCGGGTCTGATAATCGGCAAATTTAAGATTAAAGTAGAATAATTGATCTGATTATTCTACTTTAATCTTAAATTTGCAATTAATATTTTATCATGCGCTACTATTCATTTAACGTAAAATTTAATTTGATTTTTAATATATAATATTTTTTTAATTTATAAATTTATTATAAATAATTACTTATATTAAATGACTTCGTTTTAGTAGTGTAAAATGTTGAGTATCAACAATTGCCTATCGTGTGATTAGTACATATAAATTGAAGGAACAAATATTTTCGCAGCAATAAAAGAAGCATGTCATGATAACGTTAGTCGAATATTTGCATACAAGACTCACATTATTCGCAGATTCTTCAATCCCGCGAGAGCATTTCGTTGCACACACTGTAGCTTGTTGTAACTAATGATTCTGCAAAAGAGATTCGTATGTTGTACATTACATAAACAGTTTCGCGAGTATCTCCCGAGAACTTCCGGAGTAAATATTCGACTTACAGATGCGACAGCTTCGTGAGATTCCTAAAGGTATCATTGGACAGCATTCCGATCTGGTTGTTGCTCAGATCCCTGAAAACGAAGCGGATGTTAAACATGGCGAAAGCCGCTTGAAAGATATACGGGAAGGTGCGCGTGTGTTTTATTTACAGTCTGGTGAGAATCCTCAGGTGGTTCAACCTCTCCGGTTGGATCGTCTTGATGTCGTTCACGTCCAAATACAGCTCGGTGGTTTCCGGTGGAATCCCGCGTGGAATCTCTGTAAGCTGAGACCTCGAACATCTCACCACCGAACCCGCGCAATTACATTGAGGCGGGCAGTAATCGTCGCCTAGGCAACCCACGCTGTCGTCTGATGGGTGTAAAATAGTTGGTAGATCGTTAACAGGATTTGCAATTCAGATTACAAATATTAGTTTGTGAAAACGAATAAAGATGCACAGAGAGAGAGAGAGAGAGCAACTAACTTATTCGTGAAAATTTTTTTTCGCAGTGCAGGTGATACGTAAATCGAAGGCACGAAATACGCGTTGCTCGCAAATTCAAATTTAATTAATATCTTATATTAATTTCGATTTTGTATACGTACGAATTGGTTTACATACAAATCAATGCTATCGATTTCACGAGGTACGCCATATTTGTACTCTATTTTAAATTCATAGCAATCGGCCATAAAGCGCAGTAATATAAATTGCGAGAATAAGATATATCTACAGGTGTTACAGGTGACCAAAATTGTACAATAATGCAATAAACGCACTGTTGCATTTGAATTCATGGTGCGGAATATCCTTGATGATGGCATCCTTTAATCGCGGTGGATCGTGACAACGGCCAGTGATTCCGGCTATATCTCGTTTCCTCAACCATCCGGCGAACCACGCGAGATAGCAGTTGCACGATAGCGGGTTACCTTGCATGTTACTGCAGATACCGAAAAATATATCAAACGATACAGCAACAATAAGGAGGCAGTAACACGAAGATTATACTCTGATTATTACAGCTGATATATAATTATTTTAAAGATATATTAGTATAAATTTTCTCGACTATTTAACTACTTGCATTTTCCCTAAAGAATCATAAAAAATAAAAAAGTATAACACAAAAAATATGAGAAAATTTAGTAACAATTTCTATACAGTAACAATCTTACTGTAATTTGATTCGTTGATTAGTCACGAACTTACATAGCACGTATGTGCGGCATTCCGTCGAACGATCCCGGCATAACGCATGTAATGGAATTACCATGGAGATTCCTACGCAAAGTGAATTATGCGAGTAATCGTTTACTGCACGATAGCGTTTTATCAACGCTAAATGGTACGTTTGCCCAATGAGGTACTTACAGTGTTTTAAGGCTCGGTAGGCCGGAGAACATCTTGTTGTGCACTTCTCGCAGCCTATTCTCGGACAAAAGTCTGCGAAAAGAAAGCTCGTCATATCGTGAAACGAGGCGCATGGACAAAATGGAAAGAGATTGCGAGCTAAGCCAAGCATTACAATTCGTCATCACTTTTTACGATAAATATCATTCTTTGAGCTAACGAGCATAGATACATGTATTATGAACATTATGAAAGCACACGGAGAAATTTTAAACGCGATATACCACTTGATGTGTAACATTGATGTGCTTTCATATTCTTTAAATTCTGAACATAACGTCCAAAAGCGTCACTCGACTTCGAAGTGTCTTAAAAATATAGCTATTAACTATAAAGAATTTATAACCCACGTCATATATTGGATTACCTATAAATCGCACGCAATAAATGGTGGTAAAATGGTTGATATATTGCAAGCTCAGTTCCTGTACGTCATCTAATCTCTCATGGAACGATAAAATATTTTTATGAAACAGATGCTATTATCAATCTCATATATTAAAAATATTTCTAGTAATCGTAATGTGCAAGTGAAAAATAAAAATTAATACACAGTAATAAAAAGACCTTATTGATCTGTGAGCTGGATTTTAAATAATTTTAATATGTGTGTGTGAATTTATATATATATATATAGTTCTATAACTGCGCGCCAAAATTATTTTCATGTCTTTAAACGTTATTTAAACTGAACTGGGATAGTAACACTACAAATTAAATTGCCAGTTAATTTAATAATACTGCTAATAAGCGTAAATAGCAGTAAATAATTCAATGCTAATTTAATGCTAAATTATTTACAGCTTTTTCAGATGCTTATTAGCATCAAATTATTTACAATTATTTAGGATACCTATTAGCATCAATATTATTAAACTACTTGACAAATAGTTTGTGGTACTACTATTCCAGTTCGGTTCAAGATTTTAAGACTGAAAATAATTTCAGCGCGCAGTTGTAGAACTGGCTATGTACATTTGCATCAAAGTATGTATTATTTAAGCATTAAAACCAAGTTCAAGATGATAAGATTTTTTAATTATTATATATTTTTTGTTAATTATTATGTATTCGCGATCTTTTGACACTTTTGTTTAAAAATTAATATTATAGCTGCAATTGAGTTCAGCAAATCGCGACACGCAATCAACAAACACTATACCACTCAAGTCTTTGAAAAACCGGTATTGTTTTAATAATTGTCTTCGGAGACAATGCGGTCTTCGAAAATTCCTCGAGAGAGATTTTCTAAAGTTGGAAATATCGACTATAAAAGAAAACCGCGCAAAGAAAATAATCCTGGCGTTATACAACGGTATTTCTAGAATGGCTTCTATTGTCCTGGCAAAAGCGAAGTTTTCCAGAAAGACAACGACAATGTCGCGAAGAAGAAACAGGTTGGGGCTATGCTACGAAAGCGGTATAATTCGAAACTCGTAGTGACTTACAGGTCGGTGAGATTATGAGCCCCTTGAAAGGCGGACGCCTCGATGCGGGAGATTTTATTTTTTCTGAGATCCAGATGCTGTAGCTCCGGCAACTTCTCAAAAAGGCCGTCCGCTTTGATCTTGTCCAGTTCATTGTTGCTCAACAACCTGGCGTGAACATACAAGTGGAAAGGAATGCAAGTAGAACAAAGTCGCGACTGTCGTACCGTCGAAACATGCATGCACGTTCGCGATATGCATGTACGGTCAGTTTGTTACTCGACAACGTAAAAAAAAGGGGCGAAATTGGTACTTTCTGTTCGTTACTCCATCACTTGTTTTCGACTACCCACCGAGCAATTTATTCGCTACCGCGTTATAACAATGCGTCGCTCAATAAATTTTACGAATTGCTCGTTGGAATAACTCTCGAGCAGAGAAATTGGTGCATTGCAGAATGTTCGCACGATATATATCGAGCAATAGTGTAACTTGCAGTTGATTGTTTTGCTTCGTTGATAATTAATACGTTCTAACGTTCGGATAAAACTATTAATCTCGGATTTATCGAAGTACAAAAATGTTCCACGCCTGAAATAGAATGAAATAATAAATTGCTGTAACAATTATTAATAACTCTGTTAAACGCCACTGTTTTATTTTTAAATTGTATAGGTTTAAAATTCTTAAAAAGGGAAATTTAATCACAAGTAAATCGACAAATTTTTATACTGTTATTTATAACGTACTGATAAATTTAATAATACAAAA